GACAGACAGACAGACAGACAGACAGACAGACAGACAGACAGACAGACAGACAGACTCTGACAGAGAGACACAGTCAGAGAGACACAGTCAGAGAGAGATCGTTGTTTGTATCTACGTTAATTTCCTGTTCAGTCAGAGACTGAAGGCAGACAAGACAATACAAGTAAAGTAATTTGTTTACCACTCTTCCACGTCCTAAAACAAATCAAACTGAACGGAAGTCAATTCAGTCTCCGAACTGGCAAACTTCAAAGGTATCTCTTTACTCAAGCATTAATTCAAAAAAGTCATCGTCTATTTGACAAATTCACGTAATGTGAACGAATAATTAGGTCTTTTAAGTACACGTATTTGATCTCGGGATATGTTGCTTGATTTACTTTCTCACACAGGACGAACTAGTTTTTTTCAAGTGTTAATATAATGTATGATTTCTTTTTACATGTATTTCGTTTTACGAAGTTCTGTAATAAATTTTAATGCTCTGTTTGGAGGATGTCTGCCCTGCTTCTACACAACAAAAAAGAATGGGTAAACAAAATGAGTATAAGTGCATGAGGATGAAAAACATACACAAATGCTACCTAATTCAGGAGTAATTATCTTCATATCAAAGTAGATTTATTACAAGTGACAGCGAATCTTCGCACAGACAAACAACAAAACGGTCTTTCCTATCTCATTCTTTTTTTTCATATTGGGGGGGGGGGGTGTTGTTGGATTAATTAGCCGTTGGCTTGACTCTTGAAAGACAAAAAAAAATCGAAGTTATGGAACCTACAAATTGTATTTGCATTCAAAGTTGCAAATTATTAATCCATGGATATTCCGTCAGCATCAAAATTGAGAAGATGAAGTTTTATGGATACCTACTTATCATTATCAAAGTTGTGAATAAGAAACAATGAATATCTTGCCATTATCCAAAAGGGAACAGAATGAAAGTAATCCAAGTATCAAAGTCTTAAAATAAAGAAAACTTGGTATCAGTATTCAGTCTTACACACACTCTTTCCTTATTTTTGGGTACACTTTTCGAAAATGCCCTTTAAAAAAGTATCTAAATCCCATCTGATGACATCTAAGGATTATGCCAGGGGAAAAGTACAGCAACAAGTGATTGAAAATGAATTGCATGTTCCATTGTATTATAATTGAGGGTGTTATACCTTCATTACCATTATAACCACCTCTCTCACACACACAGACACACTCATATACACACACCAGATGTTTATACCTCTTTCAAAGCCTCGTCCAGATCCTGGCCCTCACAAACTCTGTCAATCTTCGCCTCTTGACCCCTCAGCTCCTCCTCTTTCTCATCCAGCTGTGCCTTTGTGTTCTTTCTCTCCGCCTCTTTAGTAGACAGAGACGTCCGCACATCTCTGAGCGTAGCCTCACATCGTTGCACAGTGTCATTCTGTGAGCTGTCAAAAATATGACAACAGATATTGATATTCAGCCAAAATATGACAACAGATGACACAGAGCCAAAACATAACAGATATTGACACATGGCCAAAAAGGAAATCCCTAGCTCCAACATAACACCATAAATTGTCTATTGAGACTCCTCTACCCTTTTGTGAACCAAACATACGCATCTATGTGACTAACGTTACCCTTCTATGTACCCAACACACACACATGAGTATGAATACCTTTACCCTTCTATGTACATAACACACATGTATACCTGAGTGTTATTAACTCTATCCTTCAATATGCCCAACACACACGTCTGAGTGAGAATACCTTTACCCTTCTGTGAACCCAACACACACCTGAGTGTGAATACTTTTACCCTTCTGTCAGAGATGCCAACCTCTTAAGTTTTTCCCCCTTGTATTCAGCACTAAAAATTCTTATTTTGACACAAAAATTCTTACTCTAACAAAGCCTGAGTAAAGCAGTACAGCTAGATTTACACAATGACGAAATAATTCAGCTTGAAAACTAATAGATCAATATCATCTGCTTCGTGAGTTTCCATGCGAGATTGGAACTGGCGCGTCAATCGGAGAAAGAATTGCGCAATGTGACCAAGGTGGATGTACACAAAGGCACAGATAGTCGAGCTGCACAGGAGACAGATTCGATACCATGTAACCATATGGTCAATAAACTATAATTGCATAAGAAAAAGGGCTTTCTTGTTTCTTCGATACTGGTATCAATGGGACCATAGTGTGTTACTGTGCGATTATTAATATTGGCTGTAACTCCATACAAGTCGGATGAAAAGACTACTTTCTACTGGAACCAAGAATTTAATTAATTTTTTTTTCTTGAGGGAGGATTTTTGTCCTCACTTTTTGCGTATATGCATATTCGGCGTCAAAATGCTTTAAAACAGCGCATCTTTAAAAACCGATTGGCATCTCTGTTCTGTGTACTCAACACACAACTGACAAAGAATACTTTTACCCTGACCCCTCTCACTCGACCAGATAACCTCTCCCCTGACCTGATGACCAACCCCTTCCTCCCCTGGTCACCTGATGTAGGCATCCACACTTTCCCTCAAAAATTCGTCTCCAGGCATGTCTCCCAGCAGAGATGTGATGCTCTCCTCATGGGTGGCCCTCAACCGGCCAATTGTGGCCTCTTTCTCCTGCAGGTCGGCCCCAAACATCTCTAGCTGAGCCTGAGCACCGGACTGTTTGTGCAGCTGGTTCATCTCTGTGCTGTGGAGGGACATGGGGCAAGATGGAGACAAGATTATATTGTGACATGAATTTATTCCTTCCATTTCTAATCGTGTTTTTACATCCCCATGAACACAACAGACAGACTATATCTCAGGACTTGAATTCATTCCTTTTATTTCTTATTGTGTTTTTACATCCTCATGGACGAAATTTTGATCATTTAGGAGACGGATTTTGACCCGGCCTGTCAGTACCAACCTGGGCAAAGGGGGATACAACATCCCAGCAGAAAGACCAAGATGCTCAATAAAAATTTTCACTACAAATGAATCGCACTTAGGTCCTGAGCATGCTATGGGAAAGTGCCAAACCACAACACAACAGACATTCGTAATTTCAGCCTAATCAACAAGTGCATAAATTGCCAACTTTTCAAAACCAAAAGACCATGTCAAGATGGTGAACATTGGTCTTTCCCCCCTTTTCCAAACCCTTCATACACACTTTTCGGCATTCAATAAATTCAAACAATTCAATGTAAACCTACATCAAAAGAATTCTCCAATTTCTTACAGTTGCTCTCATTACTATTTGCAAATCCGGTCTCAAAAGTTCTGAATTTTACTTCAACATGTGCAGGTCCGTCAGGAGCAAGACTAGAAAACAGAAAATGCATATTATTTTCCAATACTGTACAAAAACGGACTTCCATATTCAGACCCTAAAAACATACTAAATTCATTTTTTATTTTAGTTTTATTATAGTATGGGGCGAAACACAAGTTAGTTTTATTCGCAACATTTCACTGTACGGCTGGGCTTGGGTCAGTAGTTAGATCTTAAAATGTTAAAATATTAAAAATTAGGTGCAAATATATATTTTCAATCTAAAACAACTTTCCTAAATAACAGAAAAATTTTTAATAATT